TATATATATATATATATATATATATATAAGGGATTATGTGATGGACAACCAATCAAATGAAAGATATTTGAGTCTAGTTTCTAACGCTTCAAATCTTTTATCATTTGGACATTCCTACAAGAAGTTATGACCAAATTACCAAAGGATGACAGAGGAGTATGTGGATGCGAAGCATCCGAGGTCGCGCCTGAAAGAAAGGCTGGCAGTAAAGTGCTGCCATAGTGTCCAGATCCGCATCCGAGCTTCAAAGAGGAGTGAAGCGGGGATGCGAAGCATCCAGGACCGCATCCGAAACCCAAAAATCTGGGCTTATAAATAAAAAATCGGGGGAAGAGAGTATTTTGTGTATTGGGGGTTAGGGTTTTTGATGGTAAAGAGACGATTTTGAGCTCAAATCAAGTCCAATCAGCTAAGGTAAGTTGCTAATGATATTTTGGGATGATTCTTACTCAATATACATGAGTTCTAACATCATTCTTACATCCAAATACTAAATTTCATCATCAAATCCTCAAGAACACAAAAATCACCAAAGTTGTGATTTTTCAAGATTGATCTACTAGAGGTAATTCCAATGCTTCAAACTCGTTTATTATGAGTAGTTAGAAGTATTTGAAGCAATTGTTACTAAGTTTTAATTGTTGAAAGATTGGATTATAAAACTCTAGTTCATGGCATGAATAGTACTTTTGAGAAAATAAAAGAGAAGATGAATGGTAATCTTGGCGATGAAATTTATGAATACAATGAACCTATGAAATTATTTGTAAGCAAAAGATGGAAGTGATCATCTAAGTAATCACCCGAATTATATATTTTGCAAGTGTTGATTATGGAAGATGATGAGTAGTATCATTAATGACTTCGAATGGGTATTAAAACATAAGAATAAAGTTGAATGGTCTAGCATGTAAAACTATTTGACGATTTGAGTTGTTGGAGGCTTGTAGCCAACTTATGAGCAATATATGGAGGTTGATCAATATCTTAGGCCATATTTTGATGTAATTAGGATATCTAATTGTAGATATCGTCAGGTAGTTATGTTCCATATTTAGTCATACCGAATCGTCTTCCAGATGTCATCTTACAGGATTTCCAGGGAAAGAGCATTTAGGTGAAAACATGATCTTTCACCTCTGTTATTAGTTGCCTTGGATTTCATTAATCATTCGCTGTATGTTTCTTGCTATCTTTGTTCCCAAGTTTGGATAAAACATATTAGCAACAAGTATCTTTTTCTGAAAAAGGAACTTGAGAACATCACCCGTCCTCAAACCTTTTTTTTGAAAGGTTACAATAACTGTTACATTGTGTTAATTTCTCTTTTTAGTTATGTTTCAAATCGGAATTTTTTTGGTCCTTAAGACTTTGTTTCCACATTCTTCCAAGTAAGTAAACTTAATAACTTTCGGAACCTTAATATGGTTCAATAATAACAATGTATATGAAAACATATGACGTATTTATTGGATTATTGTAAACATGTGTACGGATAAGTTTTTAATAATATTACTTGCTTATAATTAGGACAGAAAAGTCACGTGCTTGATAATGGGGGAATTTCTTCGTAATGTGATATTTCAATCAGTAGTTTTGTGAATCTTCTTTTAATTTGTCCTCATAAATCACTGCAGTTTTAGATCCCGACACATTTATTATTGTTTTTATCGATGTTAAAAAAGACTAAAAAGAGATTAAGAATATGTGGAGCTTTATTGTTTAGTTTAGTGAAGGAAAAGGAAAGAAAAACAAGGGGAGAATAGAACGGTAAGGATAAAGCTGGAAAAAACAAATTAAATAGTTTGTGTACTTGGCTTTTTATTAGTTGGAGAAGAAAAAATGAGAAGATTAAAAAAAGGAGAAATCGAAATAATTTTACCAATTTATTCTTTGTGAAAAGTAAAAAAAAATAATTTACTATTCCCTTCGCCCCAATTTATGTTTCACAATTCGGGTTTTGAGTGTCAAGTTTCTTAATTTTAATCGTGAATTCGGACGTGTTTTGAAAAAAAAATTTATTGAAAAACTATCTAAAAAGTACTATAAGTCATAATAATTAACAATTCAAAATATTTAAAATACATATGAAAAATCACCATCAACGAAAAAAATCCTTTGGTAATTGGAGTGGAGGGAGTAAACTTCATGGGTCACACTTGCATAATTAGAAGTCAAGTATATCGGACAAAATTTTAATAGCATTTTCAGAGTTAAATTAAGTATATATAAACCAATCTTCTAACCATTTTTTGCACTAACACTTACTACCTTTTTTCAAAACCAATATTTATCATGAAAAATTATTTATAATTTTTTAAGATGAGCAATTTTTATAAGTACTTTTTTTAACATCGTCAATATAAAACGTGATAGGGAGAAGAAAAAAAAAACATTAGTGGCATGTGATAAAAGCAGAAAGAAAGTGCGAATGTGCCAAATGCTACGCCGCTGCAGGAGCTTTCGCCTACTTTGGTGCTATTCTTTCTTCTTTCATTTTTTTAAAAAATAATAATAATTAGTGTTGTCACACCTCCTTTTTTTCGAGGGAATATGAGATAAGGGAGTTTTTCCAATTAAAGTGACGTTTTTCGAAATGAGATTGTATATTTATCAGAGTCGTCACTTGGAATAATTTATGGTGTCCCAAGTCACCCGTTTATTTTAAATCCCAAATCGAAAAAATTTGACTCTATTTGTAGTCCGCGAACACAGAAGACCGGGTAAGGAATTCTGTTAACCCGAGAGAAGGTGTGAGGCACTCCCGAGTTTCGTGGTTTTAGCACGGTCGCTTAACAATTAATACTTAGCCTAATTATCTGATTTATTACATATTTAAAACCTATTGTGCATTTTTACTTTTTAACTGCTTTTAATACTTATGAAATTTAGTTGAACAAGTCGCGATATTGTGCACTTGTCATTTGGTACATGTTGCAAACCGCGCCACATGAAATGCATCCACGATTTACGACATGTTTATTTTTTATTATTATTAGAAGTTGTGGTCGGGTCACATGAAATGCACACCCGAATGGGATTTACGTATCGTGACCATGCCACGGGAACCGTACTCGTGGCCACGATGATTCATTAATTGTGCCTAAAACAAACTACAGTATTCAAGAGTGATTATTTATTCTATACTAATATGAGATTATTGTAAAGGCCCGTAGTTATGGAAACTAGAATTATTTCAATAGTTATCTGTGGCCACCCTTGATTTTTCATATTCACACTTAAGTTAATGAATTAGGAAAATAAAAATAAATACTAGTAGTTACACTAAAGAAAACGAGATAAGCCATTTTTGATCTAAAACAAAATCTCATATCTTAACCAAAAAACAAGATAAGCCACATATACAACCACTATATCAATCACTAATAACTAACTTTGAAGTCCCCTGCTCCGAATTTTATTTTTTGATCTAATGTACAATAGTTTTTAAAAACGAAGCGAGCAACAGAGGTTTAATTCCATCAATATAATTCAGCCAACCTTCCAAATTTCATGAGCCAAGATGGACTGACTAGTTAATCACCAACCGGTATTCACTCAAATCAAATAAAACAAACCTAGAACAATGAATCATTGAAGGTAGACAATCAAAATATGATATACAAATCAGAAGGAAACATGGTGAAAGAGCAGCAATGTAAACAACGGTTAAGAAAATGATGAACCTTTTATAGATGAAGATCTTCTATTGCTGAAATTTTTCAATGTTTACAACGAAGAGGAGCTTCAAATTAGCATACGAAATCAATCGTGACCAGGACCTATACCACGAACCTTCACCGATGAATTTCAACCACAACCTCGACTCGAACGGACCTCTCAAGTATAGTATAATCTGGTTTGAGCCAAAAGAAGATGGAAACGGANCTTTATCTTAGGATCTTTGGATTTTACCTTGAAGAGATTTTTAATTTTTTTTTGAAGATCTGAAGGGGGAGGGGTGAGTCTTGGAGATTGTTTTTTCAGAGGTGTGTGCGGCCGTTCTAACCTTAGGAATTAGGTTAGCTCCTCTTGTGTTATATTGGGGTGTTAGAATTAATAGTGGCCCTTAGATGAAAGTCGATCAATGGCTATGATTAAGGGAGGGGTTTTATGGGTGAGAAAAGGATTTGGGCTAAAATCAATCGGGAAGAATGACATTTGTCTTACTGGGCCACTAAAATCAGAAAATGAGCTCCCAATTGGCCCAAATTCAATTCTTTCTCATTGAACAAAAAATAAAAAAAATAAAAAATAAAAAATAAAAATACTACCAAAATATACTAATTAATAGGAGAAGAGGGGTTTCTCTGATAATAAGCAACCTCCACTTTCGACCAAGAGGTTGTGAGTTCGAGTCACCCCAAGAGCAAGGTGGGGAGTTCTTGGAGGGAAGGATGCCGATGGTCTATTGGAAACAGCCTCTCGACCTCATGGTAGGGGTAAGGTTTGCGTACACACTACCCTCCCCAGACCCCACTAGTGAGATTATACTGGGTTGTTGTTGTTGTTGTATAGGAGAAGAAGTATTATAAAATTATTTTTTTTTGTATTTTTAAACTTATGTTTTTTTTAAAATTAAAATTAAAAGTTGACTGAAATCCTATTAAACTGAAAATAATAAATACTACTTTTAAACATTGCGCTAGTCAAAAATTACGTACTTACAAGTGTAATTAGTTATTAACAATTTAAACTAATTAAGGATACAGGAATATAAATTCAGCTTTCATTAAGAATGGAAAGCACCATTAACACACTCTTGATTATCTCTAAACCAAGTTTAATTTGTGTGAACATGGCAGCAGGAGGACGTCTACCACTCAGCCTCGCATTTTTTCTTAATTGCGCTCTTTGTTACAAACTTACAACTAATGGTTCATGACATTACTATATATTTTTCTCTTTTTTGAAAATCAAATGCATGTATGCATGTGTATAATTCTACTATTTGTTATGTTTGCGATGTGCAGTTAATTTCACTTGGTTGCTAAAAATACAAGTGATGGCGTTACGAGAAGTACCCCAGGAGATTGCAGTGGTCATCAAAAGAAAATTGATTTCACTAAACTTGCACTTAATAACTTGTTTAACCCGTTGTTCCACCGATAATGATTGCAGTGATGGTTGGCTTTGTACGGATTGCGTCCCTTCTAAGTATTTGGGAATCGGGATATTGGAATGCGCGATACTGTGGCTGTTTAAAAAATAAAGCATTCCGATTACCTTTCCATTTTTGTATAATCAAGATATTCAAAATTTAATATTTACCATTTCCAAACTCGAAATCAATTCCTCTACCCCTCCCCAACTTAAATACCAAATTTGGTTCAAAGTATGATCCGAACTCGTGACATGCATCTACCCCAAATCCCGCTTTCCACTATATTTCTGACAGCATACTTTAAAATTCTGGAGCAGGGTTATTTTTCAGAAATTTTCTTAATAAGGTCAAAATATAAACGTTGGTTCTAAAAAGATTCATCTAGCATTATTTCTTGATCTTTACTGCTAAATCACAAGCTAAGGAAAAAAAAAACTCGGAGGCCATTAACGACCAAGATGCCTACTAAAGAACTATGGTTATGGAGAGCTTTGCAGTTTCCATTCGCATCTTCAATATTTTTGTGTAAAGAATATCTCATCAGGAATAGCGGCAAATGCACCCTTTAAAAAAAATAATACAAGCGATTATGTGTTGATTTTATCCTTTGGTTTATCAATAATTAGAGAAAAAGAGAAGTGGCAATGTTATAAGAGAGACACACCCATCTCTATAGCAGCAATTAACACCAAGGCAAGCAATGTAAAATGCACATGTTTCTGTACTGGTTCCAGAAATGCAAAAACAGCATTCACGGGAAGGGTCTGTGTTTCATTTGGCAGCATTATAACTTTCGCCAACCCCAAAACCAGTTTCAGAATTTAGACAGGATGCCCAGATATGAAGAAAAATACAGTAGTATTTTCATCAATTGGATATTGATCAAGTCTTTCATTTCAAAGATAAAAAACCACCTCTATCTTACACAACAGTACAAGTTGCAGCAAAACAATTCACCTCTTGGGTGGAGATTCAGGCACAAGTACTTCCCCATGTAGAAACCATAGAATGAGGCAAACGTTCATGCTATTACACCAGGTATGTAACGATGTAACGAGTAACTCTACCCACTAAGGCGAGCTAAAACATACTTTTATGTACCTGAGCAAACAAACAAGGTATACCCTTTCATTGGTCATTTGAAGTTCCAGTTGCACAGAGATTTTGACTATCAAGCTGATCCATCAGCCATAAAACTTCTTTCATGGGATACAACTGAAGCAGTAGGTTGCTGCTATGTTACCATAACCAAAGGTTGATCCACACAGCCACTTTCTGCTGTTACCAGAAGCAAATATAGGACGAAAAGGGAAAATTTTATCTACGGGTGAGGAAGCATTTCTTTAATCTTGGTAAGCATCGCCCAAATTAATACCATAAGCAAAAATATAGGATGAGAAGAGAAAATTTTATCTATAGGAGACGGAACTGTTTATTAATCTCAGTAAGCATCGTCTAATGCTAATTAGATAACCTAAGAAGCCTCAATCATATACAAATATACTAATTAGCTAATGATCTGATCAAAAGCTTCTTGACAAATGGTCAAGGCTGTTTGGAACTATCTTATCTCATCAAGATTGGTCCACCAACATCAGAGATTCTTTATATAGGTTCTTGAGCAACATTCCGTAAACAGTCTGCTTTTTATCAAATTAGCATCTCCACTGCGGTTGCTGAATTAGGATACCCTCAGTAATTAAATCTCGATTTCTAAAATCAAGAACCAAATTGGAAAAATTGGATGAGATTGCAACATTTATCTTTTACTTTAGTAAATAAAAATATTTTAATTGATCAACAGAAGCACCAAGGACGTGCATTCATGTTGACAATAATGATCACAGAACACACATAAAAAGTAAGAACGCCTATACTATCTGAACAAGATGATGAAATCAAATAAGGTGTGTACATCTTTCAGAATTCCATATAATTCTTGAACATCTACCAAATTCCTTTGGCATATCATTGAGATGCCTGTAAAGTTTGAAAGAGAGTACTTTTATAATCTTCCTATGAAGCACGTATATTGTAGTTTACAAATTTTTGCACAAACCATAGGAAAACTTATGATCTCTAAGTAAACAAGAAAACACGAAAAACATGAGATACCCTTTACTCATACTGAATACACACACCAGCAATCCTTAAGGATAAATTGAAAAAAGTTCTAGCAAGTTGGAAGCAAAATGCAAAATCCTTTTAAAAAAAAAAAAATAGTGTTACTGTGATTTGCAGAATTTTCCGCAAGTTTCTTTATCTTTCCTTCCTTTTTCTTTTACCTTTCTTATAGGGGATGTGCTAGCTTTGCACTAAATAGTGAATGGTAAAGTTCAAACTCTTCAGCACAGAGTTCTCTTATCAAGCTCCATGACAGTGCTTTAGCTCCAAAGAGTCATCAACTTCTTTGTAGTGCTTAATACTGCAAGTCCAGATATCAACACTAATTAGGAAGATTCACTAACAATATTTTCTGGTCTTGACTGCTGATTTAAGAAAACATCTATCTAAGAACACTAACACACACACACACACACACACACCCACCCCACCCCCCCCCCAACCCTTATCGATCAATCAACTAACCTCAATCCCATATTAGTAGGGCTTAGCTATATGAATCCATTGTAACAGTTCCACTCAATACATTTCTGCATGCTTAGATGGGAACATCCCAATGTAGAGTATTCAAACGACTCCATCTTTACACCAGCTATCAACCTACTGCAACCCTCTGGCCATCAAAACCACAACCCTCCATCTTTATGCGGGTTTACACAAAGTTACTACCATTTTTAAAAAGATCCCTTTTATCATTTTTTTATTTTAAGACAATCAGCGGAGAACACAAAAAATTAACGTGGATAAGAAAGAAAATAATATTCTTCCAATATAACCTTAACAAACTTCAAGCATAATGCAGAAATATAAATTCTTCATTTCCATAGAAACATAAATCCCAATCAAATCCCTCAAAATTCCAACTTTGAACACAAAACATCTCCAATTCTACCAAATAATCAAAATCGCCCCCAAAAAACAACATTCTTCTTCCTTCTTAACAACCAAAAAAATACTACTATAACAGAATATCAATTCTTCAATTTCATGTCCATTGAAACCTAAAATGACAATCACTTTCGAAATCCAAACAGAACAACTCCAATAATACCAATTTACCCCAAAAATGTATTTTTCCTTCTTAATAAAAAGTTAAAACAGAACTTACAAGTGAAAATAAATTAATGATGTTCAGAATAACTGGTACTTGCTTCTCCACCATGATCCTGTTTAGAACAACAATGATCATGATGATGACTCTTCTTAGATGGGTCATTTTCTTCGTCATCATCATCGCTATCGTCTTCATCAAAAGGCTTTTCTTTGTGGAAAATGCAACATTTTTTGGAACTTTTCTTGTTGAGGAATTCATTGTCCACTGTCCCAGCTTTCCATGATACTCTCTTCTTTGGCTTCAGTTTCAATGTTAGGGTTTCGATTGGTCGTTGCGGTACTTGTGATGATGATGATGATGATGATGATGACGAGGGTGCGGATTCTGATTGGTTTTCTAGGGTTAGGGTTATCGTCCCCGTTCCGGTCGCCGGCGGTGCAATATGTCTCGTCCGTGTGGCCATTGTTCCGATTCTAGCCCCTTCTCTCTCTCTCTCCTCTCTCTCTTTTATTTCCCTTTCTCAGTCTTTGTTCTTTTATGGAGTACATAAAAATCTAAATAAATTGGTTGTAACTATAAAACTGATTTTCCTTATAACTTGTTTAGATAGTTGTCACTCATAGTTTTATAATGTATTATATTATATTATTTGATAAATATAATGTTTGGATACATCGTATTATTTGTTGTTATTAAATAATATTTTTCTGTTTGGTTAACTGATAAGTTTACTACCCTCAATTGTTTAAATATTAAATTTATCAAAAATTACGCATAAAAATAATTTTAAAAAATCCTTTTCTACCAATTTATCACTAAAAATATGTTTTATAAATAGATTAAGCAATTAAATTCATGCAAATTCTAGAAAATTAATGGAACAAAATTAGCAATTTTACGTTTGAGTTGGAAGCGGCATAAGTTTTGGAAAAAAAGGGACAAAGACAAAGTAAGTTATAGGTGGGAGATTTGAAGTTAAATTAAATAAAGATAAAGGGTAAAATAAAATTATGGAGTAATAAGTTAGGGCATAATTGGAAAGAAAAATGTAAACAATTCCACCACACCAAATCGGTTGTTTAAAAAATTGGACTTTTCATTATTCCGAAATATTGGATTTAACAATACAATACAACCAACTTTAATGAATCAATCAAAACAAATATTATTTTGGGATAACAGTACAATACGATACAATAAATAACAACAATCCAAACAAGTTGTTACTGGTATATACTCTTTTTGTTTCGTACAATTATTATTTAGGGCATAAAATAAGTTATTTTTTGACCAATTTTTGCAAATAACTTAAAAAAATAAAATTATTAATTATTATGATTTCGAATGGAAGCTTTGGCGTAACTGATAAAGTTGCTCTCATGTGACCAGGAGGTTATAGGTTCGAACCGTGGAAATAGCTTCTTGCAAAAATGCAGGGTAAGACTGCATACAATAGATCCTTGTGGTCCGGCCCTTTCCCGGACCCCACACATAGCGTGAACTTAGTGCATTGAGCTGCCCTTTTTTTAATTATTGTGACTTGTAATACTTTTAAGATTATTTTAAAATATATAAAAAAAATTAAAAATCATTGGTTTTAAATGTTTATAAAACTATTTTTAGTTTAGATAAGTCCACTATCTCACGATGTACAACGTACAAATAATTTAAATTTAGATGAAAAAGAAGATGTAAATTTTCTTTAATTTTTAAAAGTAAATTTTAGTAATAAAAGGTATTCAGAAATTGCATTTTTGGGGGAAAATTGCATAATAGCTCGTAATTAAAGAAATTGTTAACGATTTCATATAAAATTTAATTAAAGAGAGTACCATTATTAGACTAAAGGAGCAAGAATAAACGATAGGTGAAAAGAGTAAGGGAGAGAGTTACAAAGATCATTCGTGGAGGAAGAGTTATAAGGCCCTTCGGCCAGAAACATATATATATATATATATATATACTCGGAGATTATGGCAGAGGAAAAGCTAAATACCTCATTTCTATATGTTCTTCAATTCTTGTTCTAAAGCAAACTTATTTATTGTTTGATTATATTTTTTGTATCACACTAACTTGTGACAATGAACCTCAACTGATATAAAAAGTGTCAAAATATTGAGTTGGAGAAGAAAATGTACTTTGAAATTTCTTTATACATTGGAAATGATAAAATTGTTGAACAATCTAAGGGGGAAAAAAAAGGGAGGCTCAGAAGCGCTATTCTATCGTCTGATATCAGACTTAGTGAAGACCCAAAGTTCTCACCTGTGGCGCAATTATCATCATAGCACTCTCTATGTGCACCAGCCGGGAATCGAACCCGGGTCTGTACCGTGGCAGGGTACTATTCTACCACTGGTGCTTGATGCTCTAAGTCTTCCTTTTAATTATATCAACGATTAAGCTACTACTAGAATGCATTGATAAAATGAAAATGTAAGTTATCATTTCAATAAAAACAATGTAGAATGGAATGAGTACTTGGTTGAAGAAGAAAGAAGTGTCATTTTCTAATTGACAAAGAGTAATAATTAGGTTATAAAATGTCTAATGTTACTGATTTACCGGTTCATCCAGGTTGATCCATCCCTATCAGTTGTATGAGTCGTTTGGTAGGAGGTATTAGAAAAAAACAATATAAGTATTAGTTTTGTACATTACTAATCCCTTGGTATTGAAAAGAATAATGCAAGTATAATTAATACATAGCAAATCATGGTATTAGTAACGGAAGAGTTTTTACTTTTTAGTACTTACATAAATATGGTTACATACATAATTGTCCTTCAAATCCATCAAAACCTATTCCAAATACTTTCTGCCATATATTGTATATTTTTATATTGTGATATTTTAATTAGCTTTTCCCCTTTAGCATTATAATCAAAATTATATCATATTTAATACTAAATTTGATTTTGAATTCGTTCAAAGTATATGTATTTTGTATTATATGTTATATCAATTAAATTTTTCTTCTCTTTTAACTTTAATATTTCAACTAGTTTTCTCTTTTAATTTTGCACACCCATAAAAAAAAGGTTTGCTTTGTAGAGAATAAAGAATGTGGAGGGTAATAAAACTATTGCAATAAAAATAGTGTACAAAGTTAAATGAACGTGGAGGATATTTTTGTAAACAATCAATTTTTTTTAGCAATTATGTAATGTTTTAATACACATTACTAGAAAACTGCCTAAAACCGTCTAGAAATACATACCAATATCGGTCGAAAAATTGGAAAAACCGACCGATTTTCGACCGACTTTAATCCGTCAAAATTAGACTGGTTGGTAATAAATAGCGACCGAAGTCGGTCGCAATTTCCGACCGATTTCGGTCGGTCAACTAAATTTCACAAACGACCCAAAAAGAAAAAACCTGCCGAAAAAACCGACCGAAGTTGGTCGGTTATGTAAAAAAAATAAAAAAAAAAAAAATTTTAAAAACCGACTGACTTCGGTCGTTTTTTTGACTGACCGAAGTTGGTCGGTTGGCCGCGGTCGATTTTGACCGAATTTCTAGTAGTGACACCAAACCAAACAGTGGATAAGAAGTAATCTCAGCATAACTAATACTAGCATTACTAATACCAACATTACTAATACACCTTATTCAACACTATTCTTTGGTTTCCTCAATTGGACGAAAGGAAGAGTAAATCTTTTTTTGTTCTCCATTCATGCCAAACAAAGTGAAAGCAAATGTACTTAATCAAGGAGATCTTTTTTCTTCACTGAACAAGGGTACTGTATGTCCTTTCTTTTTATCATTTCTCAATGTTAAACTTCTACCTTCTTTCTTTCTGTCCAGAGCAGTGAAGGATGTAGATAAGATATATATGTGGATTCGTACTAAAATTTCAAAATAAGTTTGAAATCATAATCCAAAAATTACAATGGATTAATCGGTAAGAACATAAAGATTGCATCTGTCATGTTTAAATCCTGGATCCGCTTCTGGTTCTGAGTTATTTCAATATCAGGTGGATGGGATCGTAACCAAGCAGGAGGTATTTGCTCAGATTGATGGTATATTTACACAACTTCTTGTAGCAAAGCAAGGAAAAATTGGAACCGCGGCAGCATAGAAAGCAGGAAAAATCTGTATGATTAAACACTAGAAATACTGAGGATCACATTAAACATAGTAATGGATATTTTTTTAATTGAATGGATTTTGTATTATTGATTGCCCTCCTCGTATATAAGTCTGTCGAGATGTTCAGGTATAGACAAGTAGTAGTAAAAGGAAAACTACATCAAGTTTTTGCCAGACCATTTATTTGTAATGTGTCTTTTTCAATGAGGGTTTTATCTTCAATGTTAAAGATAGACTTATTAACCTTGTTTTTCCTTCCTTAATTGAAGCTGTAACATGGCATTATTATAACTTCTTGGATCTCTCAATATTCATGCTTTGTTTCTTGTTTTCCTCTCCCTCCCTCTCTATTAAGGCAGAGGAGGAAAGTTATCTTCATCCTTTAGTAGATTATATAGAAGTAACAGTAAGAAAATAATTAATATGGACCAATGTTAAGAATTATAAAAACTTCACTTTCAAAGTTAAAACAAAAGTTCCTTAACCATGTACATTTTAACTTCCACAGTACAGATCAATTGAACCTCTCAACTTTCCAGCCACAACAGCAAAAGATACATTTCATTTTACACAATTCAACTTTTACTTTTACACAAAGAAAGTGGAATATCATTTCAGATAGGATAATTTTATGTATATCAGATACCTAAAACTAACTTGAGAATTATAGTACTACATAGCAACTATCAACAGGGAAAAAAACCACAGAGGGAAACTAGACCTCAGAAAAATTGTGCCCCTTTTTTTCAGATTTGCTTGAAGACCTAAATGTCCAAGGTTCAGCATCAACAAGCAACTTGACAACTTCTTTCATGTTGGGGCGCAAATTAGGAAGCTTCGTTGTACAAAGTGTGGCGATTCTCAACACTTTGATCATGTCTTCCTGAACAAGTTCAGAAACCACCTTCTGATCAAGAACTTTCACAATGCTTTCCTTGTCATTTAAATGAGTTGAGGTCCAGTAGACCAAGTCTTTTCCTTCTCCAAATGTATCTTCTATTGGTTTTCTTCCAGTTACTAGTTCCAATAGCACGACGCCAAAGCTGTAAATGTCGCTCTTTTCTGTTACTCTGAGAGTATATGCCATTTCTGTCAGGCAAACAAATAAAAAGGTTAATGTTAGAAGGTTATCAACATGCATGCAAATTCACAAATGAATAAGTAACAAGAAAAGCAAAAATGGTCATTCAACTTCTGGTTTTCTTGAAACTTACCAGGAGCCATGTAACCATGAGTGCCTGCAAAACAACTGAGCTCGGATCCCCTAGAAGAAATTTCGGAGACTTTTGCAACCCCAAAATCTGAAATTTTTGCTTCATAATCCTCATCAAGTAGAATGTTGGTTGATTTAATATCTCTATGAATAATAGGAGGGCAACAATCATGGTGCAGATAAGCAATTCCCTTTGCAGCTCCGAGTGCTATTTTATATCTCTG